GAAATGTTTTGGTCTTTACAGAAAAATACTGCAGCTTTTGTGATCAAAACTGTCATCCAGGGGAGACACTTGAAGTGACACGAAGAGTTATAAACAGGTTGCTATCTGCGCTACTAAACGTATAAATGCTTGTCAACGGCAAGAGATATTAAATAAAATTTAGTTTACGTGAGTCCGGACATCAATCAATCCTGAGCGACAGATTTATGCATCATACCCAACTGTAGTGTGCAGTTACCTAAACAAATCAGTTTCCTCTCAGGGCTGCACTGTAAGTCAAACCGTGTGGTCTGCACCGTGGTGTGGGCCGCAGGTCATTAGGCATTCGGCTGTTCATTTTCCTGCTACGGCTGATGTGTCAGCTGGACCTGATGGATCAAGGAGATAAATCAATAGCCTCACAAGCCAAATTACCCATGCATATTTACAAGGAAGTGAAGGTTGCAAACAAGCGAAAGGTCAGAGTCGTCAGGCAGACATTGTGAATGTTTAATATTGTGGCCTTTAAGATTCTCACAGACCTGCATCACATGTGATCAATCCTACTGGAACATTACGGCCTATTTGTGAGAGTCACTCTCCGGAGGGTAACACATGGAGTCTCTCTGGTTAAATAAAACTTCCTTAACTACCGCCACCAGAACCACAGTCTGCAGTTTGGTCACTCTCATTGAACATTCATATAACAACACCTTCAGGATATTCCACACAGTCTTTAACACAGGCACAGTGAGAGGTTCAACAAGTAACATTCTTGAAGATTGAGAGTAAACAGAAAATGGGCATCTGTTGAAGTCAAAACAAGAATGGATGGGTAGTAGTTGACTGTGTTCTGTTGAACCAGAGAATCACCTGATCACCGTCCATGTCAGCAAAACATTTAGCCCCATACTAAACCAACACTTTTGTAATTTAGGAGTTGGACAAAATCTCTGGCATCAAGGCAAAAACTGAAAGCTGCTAAATGTGTGTGACCTCAGAGCCCATAGTTACAAGCAACACAATACAACGACTGACGCTGCATGGAAATGAAAGTCAGTGTTTGACCTAACAAAATATTAAAGTTCAGTATAGTAAAACTAGCATCACTCAGTAGGAAGTCACAACTCAACAAAGAAATGCCTTTGGAAAAGCTAATACTAGCTCATCGGCGTTAAATCACTTTGTGGAAAATCCTTCAATTGTATGTCAACACACAAATTTTAAATCAACAAATGCCAGTCTCTAACAGTCTTGTGTACTCCCAGTTGTCATCTGTAAGTTGCATCTAAGTTGGATATATTTTTCTTCTATCAGTTAGAATTTTCACCCAAGAAACCTGTACACCACCAGCATAACAGAGGGAAAGTAGAAAATGCAGTCAGGGGGCAGCTTCTGTGAAGAGCAACAGACCGCTATAAACGTTTAATGATCAATCAAAAATAAACAAGTGAGTATAGCTGTTTGTGTTATCTTTCTGCAAACCCTACTTGAACTATAACCTCGATATCGTCATCTATTTTCACTTGTTAACATGAAGCAACAAAACTGTACAAGTTCAGAGCGGAGTCAAATCACATGCACAAATTGCAATTCCCAAATTCACATCATTACAACAAACAACTTCCAATGTTACGCGGTCGAGCTTTGACAAATGGGCAGCGCAGAGGGCTCTGAAACACTGCATTGATTTTTCCTTTTTCTGCTGACGCTAGCATCCCCAGACTTACAGACCCCCGCTTTGAGAAGACGGGAATGATCAAGAAAATGTACAGCCACATCTGTGAGCCTCACTGCTTGTAAACACACGGCAAGGGTGAACTCGGAGCACATTCTTTACACTCTCTCTGACGCAGAACAAAATGCTCCACAAATCTAACTCCCCACAGGCAGAAATATGGTTTCACACATGGGCCAAACTGTACCTGCCCACCACTACCCCACCGTCACAGCTGGAGATCTACGGTGCTGCTTTTTAAAGTTTCTCCAGGCACCCACCCGGGAACGAGAGCAGGCACTTACTTGACTCAGGCCACGCTCTCTGCCTGTGACGCCTGCTCTGAAATGCAGCTTTTGAGGGATGATGAATTATGAACAGCTGTGTGCCCACTCTCATCATTTTTACATCTTTACATCTTTTTTCCTCTCGCTTGCTTCATTCTGCCAAAAGTGATGCAGGAGTGATGCATCCAAAGCTTTTCTTGACTTTAAAAACCTGCTGTTCTTTTTTTAAGTAAACAATTCAAACTTCCCCTGTCTTTCCCTGCTTTAACAATGAAACAAATACACAAATTACTCCAAATTCTTCATCAACTTCTGCTGATAATTCCACAAAATGTCACATGGTACACAACCTACGTATATTTCCTGACTCATAACTCAACTTTTTTTAAACGCCCCAGTAGGGTATCATGCCATTCTGTTGGGTATGGTAAACTGTCAGGACAGTAAATCCTTACACAGGTAGGAGTGGTAGTATGGTTGGATCAACCCAGTGTGGAGGTGAAAATATTATAATCCACCACTTTGTGAGATCATTAAACTATTTTTTTAAAACTGGTTCTTAAGGAGTAGACAGAGACATGGATGCGGACGAAACTCTGACATACTGAATTTGGACTAATACTGCCAGTTAAAATACTGGATTATGCGTTGCACCAGAGTAGTGGGCGCATCTGTCAAAATATACACAGTGAAAAGGAAAAACAGACGGTTAATCTGGAAATACTGTTCATTTACACAAGAAGAATATACAGCATTGACATCACAGACTAACAAGTTCAACAAGCCCCTGATCTTATTCCTCATCCCTGGATCCATTCGTCATAGGTGTGGCTTCTAAACAATTCCACCATTCCTCTATTCTAGACTGTTTTCTCTCCTTGAGACCAGTGAGTTATCTACCAACTGCACACTGACAACAGCCTGGGAATAAAGCTCTGAGTAAAGACTACACAACTTTTAACATCCTTGCCAGGGAGAATTAACCTGCAGCACTCCGCTGGGGAAAACGCTTAGCTCTACATTTTCAAGGTTCTCCGTGTGTCTTTATCGCCACCTATAAACAGTAACGAAGTGATAGTGCAGAGTAGTGAAACATGAAACACAAAAACTGACCGGTCAAGACTGCACACAGGGAAAAACAATTGTCATGTGTTTGTTTCTTTTCTCTTAAATTTCCAGCGTATAATGAACTAGAGTGGATTTTTTTTTTTTTTTTTTTTTTTTGTGGTGTAGTGCAGTTTCCCTGGGTGAAACCACAGCAGTGGAGAGTTTGTGCAGAGACGCTGCAGCTTTGTTCACTCTGAGTCGCACTGGATTAGATTGATTACACTTGGCATGCACAATTCATTTGATTCCATTGTCCTCCCACTCCGCTGTTCCTGCATGTGTCAGAGTCCTGCATAATCTGTGTGTCCGTGTGGGCGGTGGGATGCATGTTGTGTGTTTTATGTTTGTTTTTCTTCGCCCCGAAAGCTTCATCGTGGGATTGTCCTGGTACTTTCATCGACCTCTGGTCTTTAAGCTGTTTGTCATTTGACTGCTTGGTCTCTGTGGTAAATACTGAGGGAGATTAGCGTGTAAATAAGTAAATGCAGCTTATGTCTGAGATGTACTGTACAGTAAGGCGTTCAAAAATACTGTAGTAATGTGTAATGCTAGAACTGTCTGGACCTGTGGAAATTCAGGCACAGCATGTTTTACCATTGCACAGGCACAGAGGCATTAAGGGATGGCAAATTGTATTTTTTTCTTTACACAGTCAACACCTTGTATACATGCTCACAGCAAATCCATATACTTGCCATAGGATGGGCACTAAAGGAGTACACAACAACCTTTTTTTTGTGCAGCCAGAAAGGCATTAATAGTCTTTGAGCAGCACTATGGGAGAAGAATCATAATAAAGGTTCTCTCAATTTTTAATCTACATATTTGGCCTGTATGCCTGCTGCTGAACAATTTGTATGAATAAATGGGAAAAAAATGATTCAAAATAGCTTAAAGGTAATGTGGTAAGTTGATGAGTTAATTTATATGATAATTAAACCTGTCATTGTAAGGACGGTGTGGGAAGGGCCATAATTAACATTTCACTGTCTTTGACCGTCACTGTGTTGTTATATGTCCATGTTGTTAAAAATGCAGGTGTTTTCCTAAGTATGCATGTGTGTGTGTGCGTGTGTGTGTGTGTGTGTGTGAATGTGTTTATTTGCTCTTGTCATCTGTCTTTGTGCAGGGAAGTAACGTGATGGAGGACCTGGATCTCAGAGACATTGGGATCACGGATCCAGGACACAGAAAAAAGATCCTCCACGCTGCACGCAGTTTACCCAAGGTACTGAGTACACAGAGAAACAAGGAACATGTCTTTGGAAGTTTACTGTTACTGATAAAATGTTGAACATGGGCGGTTTCTTTGTTCCTGTTCTTCACATTATTCATGGCAGTATTGGGGCTACGTCTGCGTAGGTTCTCAGTCGAAGCAGTTACAGTAAAAGAAACCAAGACAGTCCATTTGTCTATTTAACTGCTTCAGACAGTGTTGAGGTGATAAATCCTTTTATTGATAACTTTGACCACTGGTGGTGTCATAAGTCACAGCACTGTCACTCATTCTAAAGGTCATTTATCTTGTTTAGTCCAGCAGGCCAAGGGAAAAAAAATCCCTTAGGAAAAAACTAACAACAACGCATTTATTTTAATAAAGTTCTATCTATCTACAATACTGCTGATAGAGAAACTATCAGTGGAGACAATTTATAAAATAGACATGAACTGTGGAACTAATCACTGAGATCATGAGTTTGTGAGATGCATAGAGATTCAGCAGTCTTACCGTGGTGCCAGGTTGGTGTGTCTTCTCCTGAGGTTCCCTCTTCTCTGCAGGTGAAGGCACTGGGCTGTGATGGCAGCACGTCTCTGGCCACCTGGCTGGACGGCCTTGGTCTGCATGAGTATCTGCCCAACTTCCTTTCAAGTGGCTACCGCACACTGGAGTGTGTGAAGAACCTGTGGGAACTGGAGATCATCAATGTAAGAGGCAACGACCTGCACAGTCGACCCAGTTCAGTTAAAGACAAAGAAGCACGTTCTGTCAATGATGCAGTAGTCGAAGTACTTCATATTATTATCCGGTTGAGTGTCTGTTTGTGTCAGGGTTCAAGTTAAGAGCCATTGAAACATGTACTGTTGAAACTTGACTCTGTTGAAGTACTCCTCAAAATGGGGTCATTTAAACTGAGCGGCACTGCTGTGTGTGGACACAGGTTGATGCAGTAGATACATTACTTGGTCGGATCATTATAGAAATATTTTTTCTTTGCCAGGTTTTCTTTGTTGTGTCCCACTGTTTGATGTTGCAGGACCTTTGACCTGTTGGAGTAGAGGTTGTAGTTGATATAAGCTACTGGGAGACACTGACCTTTACAAAATGTACCAAGAATCATGTATCTTTTTCAGGTACAGGTTCAGGTCCTAGTACCGATGGAGAGATGCAGCAGGAACAAGGTGCTGGTTCCTGCAGAGTCACAGAGTTGGGTTCAGGGTTCACTTGTACTGGGAATATGATGTGTGAGGTATCTATTGCAAAGAATTCTCTGTACCTTCTCTTTGTCAATAGTACTGCTGTCAAGCAGCCCCCCCTCTCCCACCCCCCGCCTTCCGCACTGTTCATTTTGAACAATGAAAGTAATGAATCTACACGTCAGTTCCATTCCCTTTAATTAAGCTAGGGGTATGGAGCTATCCCAACTTAAACAGCTCCATGTTCCTTAGGGGGTGCACGCCCTGCACTTTGGGAACCACCACAGTTAGGCATTGGTGCTCACCGCTTTTGAACAGATTATCTGCTGAGTCCAAACTAAATGTACATGTAATTCATTGTACAATAACATAAGACACTCCTGTGTAATTACAATCACTCCTAATCACAAACTGGTTCATAATGGTAATAGACATTCATTTAACTATGTAGTTTCTAGTAGTACATCCTTGTGTTGTGGTTGTGGTCACTACAAAGGCAGCTGCAGTAGCTGTGCTGTAACATACTGTAGTATATATGCAGTGTTTGAAGGATGGTGTCCAGCAGACTGATGCAGCACAGAGAGCTGGGAGGTGGTGGTGGTGGTGGTGGTGGTGGGGGGGGGGTTCTGTCAGG